GCCAAGACTTCTCCGTATGTCTCGCAGATAGAGATGGAGAAAGGCTTGGTGAACAAACACGGGGGAAAAAAGAGACAACCCCAAAAAAAGCACCTGAAAGTAGCGTTTCCATCTGGCGGTTAATTATGAGCGACTCCGCGGCTCCTTCAAAGGCGCAGGGGAAGTGAGCTGTTGGCGTGTTTGCTGAATGTGTGAAAAGGGCATATTCAAAACCACACATTCCTCACACAGTTTGTGACAGAAGAGCTGGCATAAAAGTGGGGTGTGTTATATTATGCATGTAAACACATGTAAAAGTATGTTAATGGTATGGAAATGGTCTAAAGTCGTTCAACAAAAAGAAATGGAAGTGCAAAAACCCAAGGGACGAGGCTAAAAATAAGTGAGTAAGTAAGACATGTTTATTTATATAGCGCATTTTACAACCCAAGGTCACCCAAAGCGCTTTATAGAGTTCAGATATTAGACATTTTCCATTCACACACGACGATGACGGAAGCGAGTGAACAAGGTAATACCGTCAATATGTATTTTCTTGAAGAATCTATCAATGTTTACAGATCAAATGTTACGCAATAGTTCAGATGGTGCGCTAGTTTTGTTTACCATCAGAAAAAAACAGTACAGAATCGTAAAAAAGAGGTGATCATCAAACATCAAGCTGAGTACACCTGTGGTAGTAGAGCCTACATTCTACATTCTCTTGGCCGACACAAAACATTATTCAATAAACCATTAATGTTAACCTACTTTTCTCGAGCTCTGCAAATTAGGCATCTATAGTTTGGTTTTAATGGATCACCAAGATCAAGGAGACTCAGGGCTTGGTTGGTCCTTTAACATGGTCTTGAGAATTTTTACTTCCCTAAGGTTTCAAAATTTCTCCCACTGGGTTTTTAGAGTTGTTCCTTGTAAAAAAAGAAAAGAAAAAGGAGTGTCTAAGGTCAGTGGTGATGATCCAGGACACTCCACATTCAACAACGTTTATAAAAATGTATGGACATTGGTCATCAGTCCCTCATGGACCAACAGCATTTTTATTGGTCCATAGGGAGGTGACCAATGTCCATGAATGTTGATAAATGTTCATACATGCTGTAGAATGTTGAGAGTCCTGGATAATCACCACAGTACTTTTTGTTCGACCCATTAACAATCTAACAGCCCCTCCTGCATTGGCAAGGAAAAACTCTTAAATCCAGTGGGAGAAAAGTGAGGAGAACGACATTGAGAGACGGATCCACTTCACATGGACGGACGGGCTATAGATCCAGGACTCATGCTACAGAGTGAGCACAAAGGCCATAACATTTCTTGTGTTCGATCAAATTGATGGTTTTGTAAAGTTCTCTGAGATGACTACTGTTTTGATTTATTATTTTTTTGATGTGGGGATATACACAAAAGACTTGAATGTAATGGAATTTAACAAAGTGACGAACACTAATACATAACATATATAGGTGAAGGCGAAGAGTTGTAAAGTAATGTGACAGGACACATTATCAACATAAATATAGAGCCAATACTTTAGTTTCAAATGGCAAGAAATGTGGCCCTGTCTGGTATATTGCAGTCTGAATTTTTGACACAATATCATTAGCAAACATTAAGCTAGAAATAACTCTCATGATGGTTTTACAATTGTGAACAGCATGTGTTTTATTTTAGCCATCGGCAAATCAGAATGGTTTAACTGATATCCAAATACATTTTATACATCTGCCAGGGACAGATGGTTTTGTCCAATCAGAAATACTGTAGGATGAGAACCACGCAGAAACAACTGCCTTTTGACTATTCATCCCAATTGAGTGGGTGGATAAGTGACCTATTTTCACTAGTTGAAGAGGTAAATGAGAAATAATGTGCCAGTAGAATAGCCGAGTCTTTCAAATACAAAACACTAAAGGTCAAAAAGTAATGAAATTAAAATTGTGTCCTGGGTTCAAGTGGTGGAAAAACAGAGACAAGACTTTAAAGTGTATTAGGAAAAAACGTCACTGGCAAATTACGAACATCTCATGACATGTATCCATTTCTTTATTAAGGCAACAGTGGCTCAGTTGGTAGAGCTTCGGCCTTTGGGCCTGGCAGTCATGGGTTCGATCCCCCTAGTAGGGCCTTTTGGTTATGTGTACACACAGAGTATATGTGTTTTGCTATGTCACTCACCAGCTTGTCACCATAAATATGATATAAAATAAGGATTTGTCTGAGGATCTTTGCTCCATTGACTATGGCACAGGGGAATTTCATTATTTAAATGAAACGACATGATCCTTTTATAATAATTTTGGCAGACCTGTATAAATTACAAGGTGTCTGCATGTCTCCTTTTTCACTCCAGTAGACTCAGGATCCAAATGATACATCCAAGCCCTATAGCTGTATTTAAATCCCCAGCTTGTTCATTTATTCTTATATACGTTATATCTTAAGCCAGCCCTGAGGTCCAGTATGTTTGCTCTCTCTGCTATGACCCACATCACTGCAGCAGCAGACAGGGCCACAGGCCGCAGCCCACAATGCAACACACCATCAAAGCAGCTATTTGAAACTTCACTGCTGCCTTTAACTCTACTTTGTGATGCATTTGAGCTTGGTTTTTATCCATCTTTGGAGCAGTTTAACGGAGTGGAACGGCATTGAAGTACAGGAGATTGTGTGAATTCAATACGGCCGGTGCTGGTAACCTTCAAAGTCTGCATAATGTACTATCCACAAGACGAAATGTGGTTGGCTGCCCACAAGTATATGTAATGTATAAAAGACAAGTCCCAGATTTAACAACATTGCATAGAGAACTGTGTGTATTTTGATTGTGAAATTATTCCAGTCGACGTTTGGGATTCAAGTCCATTCATTTTTTTAAAAGTTTTTTTAAGTTGCTTTGACTCCACCAATACAAACATGTTAAGGCCTGGAAACACCAACCAAACTAGATCCAATGACCAACCGCTCTGTTGGCTCTTGTTGACGCAGGTTGGCTGATAACAACATCAGAAAAATCCATATCCTGCGTGAACATTCTGTGACTGTGGACTCCCCTGAGTGTCTTGGGAAGCAAAGAGGAAAGCCAAGCAGCTCGCACATGGGTAAATCAGGGTTTGATATAGCGGCTTCTTTCATCTTTGTAGCACCTGGATCCCACTGCACACTAAAGCTCTATGCGTCTGTGTTTGTCAACCCAACATGTGCTCCAAGCCCGTGTCTCCCTCTCGAGACGACCGCAGTGACACGGCTTTCTAACAAATACATAAAATACATAGAAGAATATGCCCTGGTTGGAGCGCACACTTGCGGGTCAACACACTTCCTCCTCCCACACAGTCAACAGCTTTGTCCAAAAGTGCATGCTGAAACTATTCTAACACGACACCATGAGTCCAAACCACCACAACATTGCGGAGCACACCAAACCAATTTATTTCCAACTCCTCTTAACATCCAACGATCTAGGTTGGTGTATTTTGGCCTCTTTACTTTATATTAAAGCTCTGAACCTTCAGGAATCACTTGTTGTATTGCAATCCATGCATCTGTTATTGGTGACTAAAAAAACTTCAGCTCTGCTAACACACATGCCATATATGATATAGCTTAAATAAGCATCATCATTCTACAAACATTTTTAGAATGTTAGAAATGTCAAAAGTAGTTTTCAGTTGTGCTGAGATGACTGACATCTTTCCCAAAGGTGGGGCCACAACTAAAACTCTCCTTCATCCGGTATATCCTGTAAAACAGAGCACTCTGAGGCCCCGACTCCACCGGGCGCGTAAAACGGACGACGGATCCGTCCAAACATGTCCGTTTCATCTCCGTCTCCGTTATCTCCATGAGAGTGAATGGAAGTGGCTCCACTGCCTCCGCATGCGTCCGTCCAACGCACGTCGGACCTATTCCGTCAACGGAGGGTGCAAAAGACGTGGACGGACGAAATAGAAACAATCCTATTTGTTCCGTCCGTCGACGCGTGTCGGGTCCGTTTTCCATTGAAAATGCAATGGAATAATATATTTACAACATTGTTAAACATGTATTGATATATGCTGTAGTCCTTGGTTATAAGTATTTGTTAATGACAATGATTATTAACAAACGTGTGTAATGTTTTTCATGTATTAATTTAAATAATTGTTTCCTGATCGTAAATCTACCATTTATTTTTCGCGTAATGTTAATACGCTAATCTTTACATACACCTCGCTCTTTTTTCTCTCGCTCTGTCCCGTCTACCTCCGAGGCGCTCTCTCCTCACCGCCGCGCGCTCCCACACAGACACACACACACAGCTGCACTTATGAGAGACAGATCTCACAACACTGGATATGTTGGAGTTCTTTTCTCTCTCCCCTTTTTCCAATTGCTTTCAATAAGTTTTGCCTCATCCATCGCGACGTCCTCAATGCTTCAATATGCTGTGCTTTGCATTGATCATAGCCACAGCTCATTCAAATCACACACCGCTTCTTCTATTTAAAACTATAGCTCTGCCTGTTGCCTAAAGTCGCGGAGAGGCGAGTTGGCTCCGATAAAAGTGTATCATGCGCTAAATAAGTAGAAAACAAACGAAGAGGCTGGATCATAATAAACGCTGCAGTCACAGACCCAAACACACATGCACGCACACGCCTCCCACCACACACACAGACACACACGGGCGCTCTCACGCACACGCCCACGCTCACGCACACATGCACGCCGACATAACTCCTCCATCAGCCATTCATTCATTCATTCACACAATGCCCAAACGTGTCTCCTACAAAAACAAAGCAGGCTGATAAACGCACAGCCAGAGTTGCGCGCTGCTGCAGCCGGTTTGACCACTAGTCCGTTTTACGGACGTCTGACGGACAGCAGCCAACGCGCGTCAACGGAGACGCGCCCGGTGGAGTCCAGGCCTGAGACACATGAATATCATAAAGTCTAGCTGATTTGATTCTACTAAAAAAACTCGTAGATCACTCTTTATGTCCATGTGCCAGCTGTACCTGGGAGATCTCGCTGGCATCGATGCGCCCTCCGTTATCCGCATCGAAGCGTTTGAACATGACGTCCACCAGCTGCTTGCGGGCCCCCATGTCATCCCGGTGCCTGCCATGGGTGCTGTAGGCCATGTAGCGCTTCTCATGGAGATCTAGCACCTTGTTCTTCAGGCGTCGGTAATCGCTCAGTCTGCAGTTGTCATCTGGAATCAGACACACAAGAGGACACATCAATCTCATTAAACAGACATCACACAGTCCTCCCGTATTTATAGATGCAACTTTGGTCTTGCGGCTCGGGGGCCACATGTCTATGCACCTTCCCAGTTTTTAAGATCAATTGTATTAATGTGTAATATGCTTTATAGATTATTAGTCTTCTATAGGAATTATACAGCATCTGCTTATTTCACACAGTATATATCTTCTATAAAAACAGAGAGAGAAGCTCCAACTTCCCACTTGGAAAAATGTGAATGAACACTGCTCAAGTTGCGCTGGATCAGTGGTTCCAGAGTTAGTGTCAGATCACAATTGGATGAAAGAATAGAGACAGAGGAGAAAGAGAAAGGGGATGTGTCACACTGATGGATTCGCTTTGCAAATTAAACATATTACTTAAGCCCAAAATATCTATTTTATAAACAATCATTATAGAACATCTTGAAAACGACTAAACAATGGGATTTTAATGTTATATTTTGCATTTTTGATAAGGAAAAGATAAGATTATTATCTTTTTTTTAAAATAATGTACATAGTGGATTCATAAATAAGCACAAAAACAACTGTCAAAGCTGTAAAAATATCATTATCTGTACTGTATACCACACATATGTCTTTAGATGTACTTTCATATACCCTGGCTGCACTTGCAACTGTTACACATGTATTTTTTGGCACTGATATTGCCCTTTTGTCTTATTGGCTCGACCGATATCATCAACCCAATATCTGTGCAGCAAACGTTTACGTATCAGCATTTTGACAACTGTAATCACTATCTGTCCATGTTTAAAAAGACTACACTAATACACATAATCCAAATATTTGTTCTCTAAAAAGTCCTGAAAGGTGCACTGTGCCACTATTCCAATTGGCTCTGCATCCGATATTGTGTTGCCAGAATGTCCCTCATTATATTCATCTTGAAGTACATATCCACCAATGATGTTTACGTGTATGCAGTCTTGTATTCAGCTATTTAAAGTCTGCGGTTTGTCTGCCTCCTCCTCGTCGCTACTATACAAGTGCTTATTTTCCTAAGCACTGTCAGTCACAGAGCTTGCATCTTTGAGCCTCAACAAATAAAACAACAACAAATCCATCACGCTGGTGTCAAAACCGTGCGCGACAGCTGGCGACAACATCACTGCTTCCGATCTGAACCGGTACATGAAAGGTCTGTAGGAGTGAAGTCGAGGCAAAGTGAGAATAATGACGAGAACTGGGGGCTGGTGCGTGTCAACTCGCTCTTGTTAGATGTTGAAGAGTTTCAGCCGTAATAATAATGCTTATGTTAGTGGTGTCAAGCACGGCTCATGAGCGAGACGAGATCTGGTGCAGAGCTAGGAGTCTCCAGGGAGTGTGCATGTGCTGCAGTCACATCCCCTGCTTAAAAAGAGAGGATCGGTGCAAAGCATTGCTGATCAAATGGAAATGTTGTGAGGTAATGAGGTCTGTGTTCAGAGAGAAAGGGGAGAAAGCAACAGCAAACATTAAAGTTGGTGTCAGGAACTTCAAATGCATTGCTTATTTTTTTAAACAAATGCATATTCTTAATCACCAGGACCCCTATATACAATATTTCATCACAATCGGACATTTTTATTTATTCTGAAATGTCCCTTGATTTGGGCTGTGACCTCGAGATAGTTGTGATTACTGACATCCAGCAATCATCAGTGAGCATGCTTTTGTTTTCTCTAACTTCTGCTGTCCCCTGCACCAAGCTGCGCCATCAGCCAATGTTATCAGCAGTCAAAAAAGTGCTGAAGGTTTACAGCTCCACATGTCCAAAACACCAGGCTTGTGTGCTAGCTACCTGCGAACTGCTATCCACAGTGCAGGCTTCAAGACAAGAAAAAAACATGATTTGGTGGTTTTGGAACGGTTGGTAAACAATGATGAAGGTTCACTTTGGAGAGACCCAAGAGGGAAAATGCAGTTAGAAGTTTGTTGATTGAGTATGTTTGGCGCCCTAGGCCCGGGAGAGATGCTGTTGAGTGCAGCGCTTGCTCGCGCGCTTAATCTCCCCCCCGGGGCCTAGGCACTGGTGACGGCAGAGGCAGTAGGCAAGCACGCTTCGATGAGAGAAGGAGGAGGTGGGGCGGCGGAGGCTTTGCAAACTTCAGAAGGCCGGGAAGTGGGCGTCTCCGGCTTTTAACTTGCTGTGCTGGTGGTTATTGGTGGATTAGATGTGGGCGTTTTGCTGGTGTAATGAGTAGAGGATGAGCAGGCTTGTAGATCTGGCAGCAGTGGCCGGGTCTACCACAGTGAACTTTCGCGAAGAGCTTCATATGCCTGAAGTGAGATTTTCTGGGATTTTCCTTTTTAGTTTACTGGGACAAAGTGTTGCACCAATTAATCTAGCAACATGTTGCACAGGTCACGTGTCTCTGGGGTCACATGTAGAATTTTAGTCCCAATATAAGACAATATGCAGACGCTACAGGTAAATATTTGTTCCAAGAGAAAGATTGGTTCACAACATTACAACTTTTACAACAATCAGAACACAACAGGCTGACCACATCTTAGAAAACATTTAATCTTTTGGACACTTGGAAGAGAGGGCCTTCCAAGTGTCTATTTCACACTTTGATCTTATGTATGAACAAATTAACAATAAAAGGACTCTTTCCTTAACTGATGAATAAACTAACAGTGGTGCACCGTGCGAGATCCACCAAATCATCACTGGACAAACAAAACCAAGTTGTTGTGGAAAATAGTTTGAGAAAGCCGTTAAAATTCTAGTTGTGGTTTTCTTATGAATGCATTGCAATGAATAATTAGGATTTTATCAATGGGTGATAAATTGCGAACATTGGACCCTTCAGTACTTTTTTGGAAAAAAATAAATTTTATGATTGTTTTGGAAAATTGGTGGTAACCGGGCGACACTTCCATCATCATTCTCTTGATTCAGACTCAATCATTAAAACAGGAGAGAGTGTGGAATCTGGGAAATAAGTCATTTTCATCTCCCTCCTGCCTGACCTACGCATATTGACAAGAGTGCCACATTCTATCAGCATCCTTGGTGTTCTTTCATTTCAAATCTAAAAGTAAAATCAAATTTCTAACATAATACATCCGCGGTGAATTTCTGAAAGTGTGCTCAGGGAATTTGGAATGAAATTGGAATCAAATTTTGAAGCACAATTCTTTCACAGTATTAAGTTTTGTTCCGATTCAAAGATTGGATGGAAATCTGAAATGGTCAGTGAAATCACGGGGATTGGAGAAAGACCTTTGCTACTTCTGCTTCCACCCACACATACAAACAATGAACAACAACATTGTTCCTCATCAGCATAGATCTGGAGTTGTGTTTAGATCCATCCATGCTGATATCACTCTCAATCATTCCAACACTGCTCTGAGTTATCACATCATAACTCAGAGCAGTGTTCTGCTTTTTTTTTTGTTTTTTTTTAAATGTGTTGCCCATAAATTAGTGTTGCCAATATCTAATTTTGAAAAAAGAAAACACACATTCTACACCTCCCTCTGGTGGCAGCATTTGGATAGGGCAAGGCGTATTTCCTGCATCTGCTGTTCATCAATACACACTGTCGATGTAAATTAACAAATAACTTTCTCTAGGCAAATACGGCCTTTGCAACTGCGTGCATTTAATTAGTTTGTGCCGTGTTAGAAGTATTTCCCATAGATACATCGATTTCTCACTCATGTAAACATAAATGCTATCTGAAAGAAATTGCTTCATATATTTTATTGCATCACAAAATATTACCTTTAAGTCATACTATACTGTATGTTACAACACATAATTCTAACAGAGGATCTTCCTAAAATGGACACAAAAGATAATGTATTAAGCTCAATCCATGTGAAAAATTGTGAATGCAGCCTCCAAACATTAGGCATGAGAAGTAATATGTCTCCTGTCAATCCCAGGTCCAGTGTATTTTGACAAGTGTCTGTGCCACAAGGCGGCATGGTCACAAATGGCACTATGAATAAAAGATAAAGAGCTGCTGGCAAACCCTGAGGGACATGAAGGTCAGCACAGTGATAGCACACAGTCCCTCCAGGGAATCACTCCTGACACCTGCACAAGGCATGTGTGTACGGAAACATAGTGAATAATCAACAGTACTAACATACATTAATTCACATGTGGACTTACATACAGGGTGAGAGGAATTATGATGTGCAATGTATTTATTTTGTTTGTCTGTGGGGTTGGTCAAATGCTAAAGATATTAGACTATTTATTTTTTTGTATTGGCCTAAATCAGTAGTTATCGGCTGAGACAAACGTAATCTGAGCCTGCATGTATACTGAGACAAGAGAGGTCTGAACCTGCATGTATACTGAGACAAGAGAGCTCTGAGCCTGTGTGTATAAAGAGACAAGAGAGGTTGGCATGTATACTGAAAAAAAGCGTAGTGTGAGCTTGTAAATACTGTATACTGGGAGTGTTCTGGTCCCCTGAGAACATTACTATGCGACAACAACACTGGAAGCTGATGATAGGCAGCACATTTTTAAACCGACAAATAAATAGAAAAAGTCCTTTTTCATTCTGACAATATGTTGAAGCCGCACAAACACATTAGAAGAGAAAACAACATGACCGTGAGGCCATCAAGAGCCTTTCCCCAGGGAGAGCAGCCAAAGCTTTTAACATCCAAAATGGAGGACGAGGGATTGGGACTAACTGCTGCTTCAACCACACTGGCTTTGTGTACAGGTTGTACTGCCATTTTTATCCACTCACACTGGTTTTAGGAATTTTCAACAAATATCAAATTTGCTCGCCCATCTAGCGCACAGTATGAACGTTCTGTGCTATTCACCTGTAAAGGCATCACTTTCCACTTGTTTTGGCAATATTATACGGTAGAATTGTCACTGGCCTGATTTAAAAAGGGTCTATGTGAGACAGGGTTCTTCTCTGAAAATGTTCAAATCCAGGTTAAAAACAGTTTTGTTTAGCCGTGCATACAACTCAAGGATTTTATCTTAATTTTTTTAAGGTACTGCCATTGTTTCTATCTTGTTTAGTTAAGCACTTTGAGTTGCTTTGTGTATGCACTGTGCTATACATATAAACTTGCCTTGCTTTGCCTTTACCTAGTTATCTGAAGGTTTGTCACAGAGGCTAAACACTAGCCTGGCCTTAGCCATCCATACATGCCGCTCAATCATAATTTCACTGCATGTAACGGTCTGGGCCTGGTCCCCGTCTTAGCGATTACAATCGGCTGAATTTCGACCGATCAATCAGCGAGCGCGTTGTAGGTCGGTGCCGGTGATGTCAAGAGTTTGCGTCGAACGGACAGGTTGTAGTTTGGCAATGGCAAAGAATGCGATAGTAAAGTATTCTGGTCTGGTTTTATCAAGACATTGACGCAGGAGCAAGAGGAATGTTTAGCAAATGTAATCGCTGGTCAAGATTGTGGCGCTACTCCCCACGGGCTCCGTTAGCAGCAAAAGAGATGGCTAGGCTAAATGCTAAATGCTAGCAACTCACTTGGGCGCAAACTCAGATCCAATCGTTTCAATCTGCAAAAATTGTTAACCCCTCCCACCTGTTCACAAAGCTCAATGAAGCACCTCCAGACCTTTTATGAAATGTAATTTGTACTATGGTGTGGTACAACCAGGCTAGCTAAACACTACTCATTGACAGCTTTTGGGAAAATCCTTTCACTAAATGTTAAAACATATTCTAACTCAAATTGTAAAAAAATATAATATAAGACAAAACCAAGTTATTCTTTGATTTTAATAATGTTTTTATTAAAAAAAACGGGTTACAGCTGGCCAGTTTGACTGCTGCCTAAAAAGATTGTCACAAGATGGAAGCCCCCTCACTTACGGTGGGTACTTTTGTTGACATCCCCAATTTAGGGCTCGCCATGGCTCTATTTTGTATTTAGAACCATGGAGACATCATTTTGTCAATTCTATATTTGTGGAATGGACAAAATGATGTCACCCTTGAATGACAGAATTGTCTCCCATACTGAAGAACAAGTATTATCAACTCAACATCAACAAGCGGACTAGGCATGGTAAGGCAAGGCAAGTTTATTTGTATAGCACAATTCATACACAAGGCAACTCAAAGCTGAACAAATCAAGATAGCATTAAAATCATAAATAATCACAGACTACGCTCAATATATTAACCCAAGTGTGGAATAAAAAACAATGAACAAAACAATCAATCCTGGGACCTCTTCTGTTCAATCTCTACATGCTGCCGTTAGGTCAGTTAATACGCAGAAACAAAGTGTCCTATAACAACTATGCAGACGACACTCAGATCTATGTCTCACTGACTGCAGGAGAACATGGACCAGTGGACTCACTCCTTCACTGTATCCAACAGATCAGTGAGTGGATGCAAAACAACTTCCTTCAGCTAAACGCAGACAAAACTGAAATGATTGTTTTTGGTCCCCAGAAACAAAGAGAGAGCGTCATCTGTCACCTCCAGTCTCTCTCCCTAAAACCTTCAAACAAGGTCAGAAATCTAGGGGTAATACTGGACTCAGACTTAAATTTTAATAGCCACATCAAATCAGTAACATCAGCAGCTTTTTACCATCTAAAAAACATTGCCAGGATCAAAAACATAGTGTCTAAAGCAGACTTGGAGATTCTTATCCATGCATTTGTCTCCAGTAGGTTAGACTACTGCAATGGCCTGCTCACAGGTCTGTCCAAACAGGCTGTAAAACAGCTGCAGTACATTCAAAATGCAGCAGCTCGAGTCCTGACTAGAACCAGGAAGTACGACCACATTAGTCCAGTCCACAGGTCTCTGCACTGGCTTCCTGTGGCTCAGAGAATAGACTTTAAAACAGCTCTGCTTGTGTACAAGTCTCTCCATGGCCTCGCACCAAAATATATTAGTGACATGTTAGTCCCATATGAACCAGCCCGGACTCTGAGGAGCACAGGGACTGGACTCCTGTTAGTGCCCAGAGTCAGGACTAAACATGGGGAGGCTGCTTTTCAGATTCATGCTGCTAAAATCTGGAACAGTCTTCCTGAAGATGTGAGACAGGCCTCCTCTCTGACAATGTTTAAAACCAGGTTAAAGACAGTTCTGTTTAGCTGTGCATACATTTTATATTTTTATCTTTCTTTTTAATGTTCTATGATTATTTATGATTTCAATGCTTTCTTATTTTGTTCAGCACTTTGTGCTATATAAATAAACTTGCCTTGCCTACAATACATTAGGTTACATTTAAGCGGACGTCAGAAAATGTTGGTCATGCCAATGGAACAGGCAAAAAATTCCTTGTTAGACAATGATCTCTTGGATTGTGCAAAAAAAATCCTCTTCCCTTGAAATAAGAAATACTGTATCCGCTTGTTCCAAAGGATATTTTTTTCACACAGTTCCTGAATAAAAAAACACGACTTCATACAAATATAAAAATCACTTGATAATTGAAGACGACCACATGCTACACTTCTGTAATGCAGCACATCTCTTGAGCTCGCATGGGGACCTGTGACATGGTAAATGGCGGTGCGTGAACCCAGCTTGTGCCTGTTCCGTGACCTTGTAGTGAAAGAGGAGGATGGATGAGCTCGCCGGGCTCCATCTGTGCCGCCGAAGCCATTGTCGCTCATAGAGCTCCACACTGGGCCTTTGCGGGTGTGGAGGTCAGAGGATGATGATGCTGATGGACAGGACCTACAGTTTGTGCTTCAAAACACACATGAATACTCTATATGCAGCAACTGGAATACTCTGCATCCTGTTTTATTTACAATGGTCCTATTTTTATTTTACCTGAAATTGGGAACCAGCATGACACCATACAAAGTACCGTGGCAGTCGCCTTCACAGCCACATCTATTTTTAAGTGATTCAAAGGGTTAAAAATGTGTTCTCACAGAAATATTGGTTTTGGAGGCGAGATGGAGGACATGTATTCTAAATCTACCTTCAGACTTTAACTGGCTCTCTATTTCAAGTATGTATAAACCCAGAGCACCAACAGATAGATGGATAGATAGATGGATGGATGGATGGATAGATGGATACTTCATGGATCCCCGTAGGAGAAATGCAGGTGTCCAGCAGCAGAACACTCATCCACGTCTGTTGTACAGTCTGACAGCCGAAGTAACAAAGGATCTCTTGAAACGTTCCGTTCGGCAGCGTAGTGATAGGAGCCAGCTGCTACGATTACTCCTCTGAGCGGCAATAGTGTCATGGAGAGGGTGCCTGGAGTTACCCAGGATGCCCTGCATTAGAGCCCTCATCCTTCTCTCCCACAGAGTCCACACTTCTCCCCATCACTATACAAGATACAGTACACTTAAACCATGGTCTCAAACATATGGTACGCGGGCCGATTGCGGATTGTAAAAAATTGATTTTTAGCCCCCAAGTGGACACCAAAGGTTAATGTGTGCAACCCCCCTAAGAGAATGTGCAATATAGTTCATCAACAAAACAACCACAGCATTTATCTTACGATACACATTGAACCCTGAATGCAATAAGCAATAATTCAAAGCAAACTTAATTAAACCCAGTCCATAATACAAAGCCACATATACAAAAATGAACGATACAACTTTCCACAAGTCTCTGTTCTCAAGCCCAAAGATTAACTTTATCTAGTGTTAATGTTGAGAATGAAAGATGTTTGAAATGTAACGATATATCATAATTATCCTGGTGCAAAACTGAGTGAGCAAAGCAGAATTGCGTGTGCAATTTTAGTGGTATGATTCTATCTCTGCATGTGCAGAGATTCGTTTGCTCCATCCATCCATCCATCCATTTTCTACCCTTTAATCCATTTCTGGGTCAGGGGGGTGGCAATCAGAGATGCCACCCAAGTCTCATAGCACCAGCCCCTCACTGACCCTCTGCAGGTGGTGAGTCCACAGGAGGACGGCTGCTCTCTGAGTGTGAGCATAGCCTTGATCTTTCAGTGGGGGCTTTGGGCAAAGTGGGGTTAAGTGTCTTGCCCAAGGACACAACGACAGCAGTCATCAGTGGGAGTCGGTGGAGAAGGTGCAGAGCTGGAAATTGAACCCACAACCTTCAGGCCTGAAGGCCAATGCTCTACCAACTGAGCTACTGTCGCCATCGTTTGCTCTAATGTACATTTATTATGCACACACACAAACAAGTGATAAACATAACCCCTTAATCTCAGCTTCGTCCAGACTCGACCTCATCCGCTTCCAGATAAATTCAGTTTGAGACCCCTGCACATGAACGTTGTACAAAGGATTTACTAAACACCACATAGACTTTTCTTCATACTGTGTAAGCCAGATCCAACCAGCGCTCCCCTGGTACTTCTTCTGAATGATTTCGCTCAGCTAGTACTGAACATGGCACAAAAATAAATAAAATCTCTTGACGGGGCTTATGGACGGTGGAAGCCCCCTCCTACTGAGTGGATTATATGGAATTTTATGGATATCTATATTAAGAACAGTCTGTGGCCTGCAGAGACATTACCAAAGAATTTAAATTATAACAATAAAGATTATGTTTCATTTGATGGACTTTTTTGTCCTATCTCATCAATGTATGTATTTTTGCAAATGAATAAATCCAATCAAAACAACATCCTGTGTGTCTAAGTCAGTAATCCTTATTTAAACTGTATAGTGCTTTGCAATGTGTGTTTGCGTGTGTAAGTGTGTGTGTGTTTTCACGTTTGTGTTTTTAAAAACAAATAAAACATTTAATAACAAGTAAGTCTGCTGGATATTTTTGCTGTAATTTCCAAAGGGAATTGTATTGATGGAGAAATGCATGTGTTGAGCTTGTGTCTTAATAACGGCAACGTCTCAGGCCTGTGCTTTTGTTAGATATGAAAATGAGGTTCTCTGTGTGCTCACTGTCGAGGTTGTGCTGTTCCTGCAAGACAAACAGCACTACGGAACAAATCATTAATTTGATCAACATGTCCACCTCATTTCTCCTCCAACATCAAGCCCACTTCAAAAGCTGTAGACAAAATACACGCAAGCCAAACACAAAAAGAAAAGTAAATGGAAATGAGTAACTTATGTAAGAAGTTTGCATGTTCTGCCTGTGTCTGCGTAGGTTTTCTCAGAGCGCATTGGTTTCCCGCTGCCACGTGTGCAATGGGTGCGGACGTAATGAATGAGCGAAGGATGGCGATGGTCGGAGGTGATGATGCACAAGGTGAGCGTCATCAATGCGTGGGGAGGGAATGGAAAGCACACTAACATTTTAAAGGTGTTTATATAAATAAACCTGGCTTACATTCTTACAGAGATTGTAAAGTGCATATGGATGATGAAAGAGTCCATCTTAATATATCTGTGTGTTGTTAAATCTGTGGTGGAAAAATGTGGTGGAAGAATCTCACATTTTTCCACCACAAACAAATTAGGCAAACCAACTCTTGGCTTCTTGACTTCCTGGTCCAACAATATTCAAGATGGTTGAATAATGAAGCAGTGTTCCCTCATGCTGGCTCAAATTCTGAGAAGTATTTTTTGTGAACAAGTGGAGGATATCCCCGTGTGAGATCCTTTATTCGTCCTGCAGTGAGAAAATGTCAGTGTTGCATCGCCAGTTACAGAACAGCAGGAATGAGGAGCACACAGAGGATTAATGGACAATAACTTTATGCAAACATAAAATTAAATCTTTAACTTTAGAGAAAGTTTTTTTCTCAGTTTTCCTCATGTTATTGCAATTGAACATGCAACATGTGCACCAACTACAAGTAAAATATGTTGTTGGATTCATGGATTTATTTTGTTTATCTCAAAAGAATACCAGTTTTAATACCATGAACAAATCAGACCACAACATGTGATCTTTATTGTATGAAAAACAATAATATATTTTTCATATGCAAGCTGATTGGCCGAATGAGGACTGGTCCACTCTTTTTCACAGAAAGAACTGATAAAAAATGTGACTGTTATATGGATGCAAAAATCTGTGATAGAACCAAACTAGTTACATGGATTGTGATTAGTGATTATGATCCAGGATACTCGACATTCAATGACATTTATCGATGTTATCAACTTTTATGGTCGTCCGCCCGGTATGGACCAATGCCGTTATGTGTTTTTATCGTTGCATGTCTTGTGTTTGAACTGTTTTATAACTATGTGTGGTTTAGGGCAGTACAACAATAAAATTAATTTAATTGAATTGTATGACATAAGTATATGTTTCAAATTCAAGTTACATAATCCATCTTTAAGACAAGACAACCAGATGCATGTATGAGCACAGGAGCAGAACAGGTTACTCACTACTTCTGTCCCGTGTTGGAAACAAAGTAAATATATCCGATTGGATAAGACTTCCATTGCTTCCCACATACATGGCATTTCCCTCAAAGATGTTGGACACGGATAATAAACTGAAATCACTGCTTTCACACCTGCCATCTTCACCCGCTGCAAAAAAAGAAAAAAAGTCTAGCCTCTAAATCACAAGAACCAAAAAATAAAAATTGGTCAAGAAAATTGCTCAAGGTTCTTTTTGAATCCAGACTTTTAAACCAAGCTCTTAAAATCATTAATGACTCTTCTTGGCACCCCGGTAAAGCCATGTTCCAGCTTCTTCCCTCGGGCAGAAGATATCGGTCACTGAGATGCAAGACTTCTCACTATGCTAACAGCTTCTTTCCACAAGCCGTTAGGTGTCCGAACAGAGCACTTTAATTGTTGCTTTTACCCCTTGTATCGGTTTATTTTTGTCAATCGATGCCACAGTGTCAGCTGTTTTTATCTATGTTCAGTGTATGTGTATATTATATAACATTGTATTGTGCTCTTAGTCTGTTGGTGCACACAGAGTACCTTTTTTTGCAGATGTATTCCAATGCGTTTTTTATAGTGCACATGGCAAAAAAATTGAATCTGAATCTGAAAAACGACCATCTGCTTTCAAATAATCTTACAAAAGGATGTGTAATGATTGATAGAAATTGTTAACATAATTACATAGTGTCTGTCTATCTCTCCTGATAAAAGCAATAAGCATAAAATACAGGTGCAGTCTGATAATTTTAGGTCAAACACACATCTCCAACAAGGTGATACAGGTTTTTTTTTGTATTTTTTTTCCTCATATAAATGTGGTGAACATGTCATTCTAATATCCCATGTTCTTTGTATTCATATTTGAGGCTACTGTAGATGAAACATCCTCAGCAAACAACCTGAATGAAAACCAGGATTGGTGACAAAAAATCATTCTGGGACAGGTCTGACTTACAACCAAGACAATAATTAAACCAAAAGTCCCCAAAATGTTGGCTTACAAAGTATTGAATATTGAATACATTTTAAAAATAGACGCATTCTAAGTAACGTAATACTATTTAAAATACATTTTAGGTTATGTATTCAGTATTCTGGAATGGAATACATTTTCAAAGTATTCTACCCGACACTGGTGATGGGGGCAGTGGGGCAGCAGCAAAACTGAGGTTGTGGTTCTGTCCTTAGGCAAGACACCCATATTGCCTAAAATGGTGTGTGTGTGAATCGTGGGTGGGGATTGGAGGGGCCGATAGCACATACTGATTGCCTCGCTTCTGTCAGTGTGCCCCAGGGCAGCTGTGGCTACCACCGCGTATGGAGTGAATGAATAATGG